AAATCAGAGCATGTTTGTTTCTATTTGTACCGGAAGGTTTGCGCATGCTTGTAGCCCCCAGACAACACTGGAAAGGCACTATCAATGCTTTGTTTCTTATATACTTATTTACAACACATACCTACTGATTTGACTTACAAACCATTGCTTATTATTAGGACAGTATAAATTTCATAATAATAATTTTTAGTTTGCAGATCAGCATCGATATACATTTATATTTGCTATTATATACAGTAAACTATACAAAAAACCCCCCCCAAAAAAACTATTATCACAGCTGACAAGCCAATGTAGCATCTGAAGCTAGTGTTACATTACAAGGGGATATAAAACGTAACACAATGCAATGTCTTCATTGGTGGCAATTCTGATGACAAATTCACTTGCTGACAATTAAGTGGCATGATTTACTAAAGTGTGAAGTAAGGTGCATAGTAGTGAAAGTGAGGGCCATATCATATTGGTGAGCCAGTTGAGTTCTTTCCAGTGGCAGGATTGCTTTGGAGGACACAGCACAGTGTGAAAACTTGTCGTTCCCTCTCCAGCTGGAGGAGCAAGGTGTTGCTCTCTCTTCAACTTTGCAGCCTGTATGTACTAAGCATCAAGAAGTATGATTTACTAAAGCGTGGCGTTAGGTGCACAGTAATGAAAGTGATGGCCATGTAATATTGGCAAGTCAGTTGAGTTTTCGCCAATGGCAGGATTAGTTTGGGGTCTCTAAACTGCGGCCCATGGACCAGGTGTGGTCCTTTGCTTGCCTTTATCTGGCCCTCGGTGCACCTTTCCTTCCACTGAAACCAATGAAGGGGCGCTATTCCTTCCGCTAACACCGATGGTGGGGCACTATTGCACCCACTGACACCAACAATGGGGTATTATTTCTCCCACTGACGCCAATGAAGGGGCACTATTCCTTCCGCTAACACTGATGGTGGGGCGCTATTGCACCCACTGACACCAATGATGGGGTACTATTCCTCCTACTGACACCAATGATGGAGCACTATGCCTTCCACTAAAACCGATGTCAGGTACTATTCCTCCAACTGACACCAATGATAGGGCACTATTCCTCCCACTGACACCAATGATGGAGCACTATGTCTTCCACTAAAACCGATGGTGGGGTACTATTCCTCCCACTGACACCAATGATAGGGCACTATTCCTCCCACTGATACCAATGAAAGGGCACTATTCCTCCCACTAACACCAATGATGGAGCACTATTCCTCCCACTGACACCAATTATAGGGCACTATTCTCCTAGATTGTAAGTTTCAAGGAGCAGGGCCCTCCTATCCCTCTTGTATTGAACTGTATTGTTGCTATATTGTAAAGCGCTGAGCAAACTGTTGGCGCTCTATATATCCTGTATAATAATAATAATAATTCTTCCCACTGACACCAAGGATGGAGCACTATTCCTCCCACTGACACCAATGATGTAATTTTTCTACTCCCACTGACCACCAAGACTATGGCACTGTTTACTCCCACTGATGCCAGGGCATTTTGTACTCCCACTGGCCAAAGTCCAACCCCCTCTAAAGTTTGAAGGGCAGTAAACTGGCCCCTTGTTTCGAAGCTCTGGAGACCCCTGGTTTGCAGGACACAGCACAGTGTGAAAGCATGTCTCTCCCTCACCAACAGGCGGAGCAAAGTGTTGTTCTCTCGTCAACTTCTCAGCCTGAATGAGTTCTTCCTGCATTTGCTAGTGGCCCTGTTACTGGTGAATTCTCGCTAGCATCAGGATTGCAAGTATGACATGGGCCTGAGACTGTGGTCACCTCGAACAACAAAAATTAGTATTTCTTAAAATTCTTTTGCACATTGGATTGCAACTGTGATGTAGGGGAGACACATCCACTGCTTAGTACCCTATTAAACCTGGCCAGTCCGGAGAGGCTGGGTACTCACTTACTATTTTGTGAGTTACACCAGCTCACTCATTCAGAACGGACTGCCAATAATGGCAGTGAACCAAAACTCAGATCTGTTTTTGAGACAGACCACCACAACGTGCAAATTGTTGGAACTTCAGTTGGACTTACTGTATTTGTACATCGGGGTGCCACTCTAAATAAAGTGTGCAGTCCACTGAAGTGTGGCATAGTAAAATACATAATGGTGTCTCTTTAGATAAATCCCAACTGCTGGAAGGCTCCTCCTCTCTCCTCACCGAACCAAAGGGTGCTGGCTCTCAGACATCAAAGGCAGAGAAAAAAAGATCGAGCTGCTCAAATTCAAAGAGTCCAAGGTATTAGTATCACCCAAAACATAAAACATCCACCTGCTCTTCTTATGCATTTCACTCCAACAGCAGCAGTGACTACAGAATTATTATTGGTATACAGGATTTCTATAGCGCCAACAGTTTGCACAATGCTTTACAATATAAAGGGAGATAGTACAGTTATAATATAATGAAATACAAGAGGGTTAGGAGGGCCCTGCTCACAAGAGCTTACAATCTAATAGGGTGGGGCAAGTGGTAAAAAAAGGTTATAACTGTGAGGGATGAGCTGACTGAATTAAAAGTTTAGGTGTTAGCCCCCATGTACACGGACACTTCTGAATGATGGAAACTGACTGCTGGAAAATGTAGGTTAAAAAACATCTGTTTAGCTGCGTTTGCATAACGCGTTTATGTGCATTTGCGTTTAGAAGCGGTTTTTAAAGATAAGCACAGAAGACCTTCCAAATGCCCAGAATGCACTGAAAAGTGGTAAATTATTACCTATATGTGCAGCAGCAGGTGTTGAAATTAGCTTAGGTGTGAGTTGCTCATTAACATTTCTTTTGTTTCCAAGGTTGGAAAGGTGTCTGGTGGGGGGAGTCATTAAGGTCACCTGGCATGGGGTCTTCATGAGGAATTTGAGGTGTGAATGGTCATTAACTTATCTTTTGTTTCCAAGGGTGGGAGAGGTCTGAGGTGTGAATTGGTCATGACAATGTGTGACCAGCTTGGTAGGAACATCCTGTTTTCAGTGTTTTGTCCATCTGAGTACCTTGAAAACGCTTTGCATGCATTTTTCATGATGAAAAAAGGCTCTGGACAGCATCAGGAACTGAAAGAGTTAAAAACTATTTTCAGACACAAACGCTTATAAATGCGATTTGCCACATTTACAAGCAATTTGCGTTTGGAACGCTGATAAAATCAACTGCTGAACTCAAGTTTTCTGCGTTCAAAAAAAAATGACTGTAAACTTAACTGCCTGTAAAAGACTGTAAACGACGATGTGTATATGGACACATAGGAAAACATTAGGGAGAGTTCAGGGGCTACTGAAAAAAAACGCTGAACAGCTCCTAAACGCGAGTTTATCAGCTGCAGTGTACATGAGCCCTTAGTTGGAGGTGGGATAAGCTTCCCTGAAAAGGTGAGTTTTCAGGGATCGCCTAAAGATGGCCAGAGTAGGAGATACCCCGAAAAGATTGAGGTAGAGAGTTCTAGAGGATAGGAGAGGCTCTTGAGAAGTCCTGGAGATGAGCATAAGAGGAGACAAGAAAACTAGAGAGCAGGAGGTCTTTGGAGGAGCGTAGAAGACAGTTTGGGTGATATTTTGAGACAAGATTGGTTATGTAGCTCAAGGAATGACTAAATGACTAAATGAATGACTAAGCTCCTGTTGGAATGAAATACATATGTATAGTGTATTTATACTAATACATGTTGGACACTTGAAATTGAGCAGCTGCATTCTTGTTTCCATGCCATTGGTGTCACTTTGGACTAGAAGTGATGTGGAATATACCCCAAACAGGGGCAAAGACAGCAAAAAAGTATTTTTTTTTAGTTCAGTAAGGAGAGTTTAGAGCCAATGACAGGTTGCATTGCTGTCTGCATCTATTTACTTCCTGGTGCCACCGAGGACAGGAAATGAGAGGAAATTCTCAAAGGGGACACAGACAACAATAAAAACCTGATAGAGATTCCAAGCCTTTCTTCTCATGCTACACAGTTGATATATCGGAAAGATCAAATCTGAAACTATGGGGCATACTTATTTATCAAAGGGCGATATCCTAGAACAATCTCCGCACTGTCCATTCCGATGGCTTCACCTCATTTATCTGGGCATGTATAACACGTTTTAATATCAAAAATATTAATATCCCCAACCTTGGATTTCAGATTTTTCTCATTTTGTTGCTTGGTCTATGTGCCACATTGTAAACAGACCTCACAGTATCATAGAGAAAAGGCTGGCAAGGTGTGTGAGGGGGGAGGGAGAGTTTTACACTGCATATGCAAAGCAACAGTGGGGTTGATTGACTAAAGGTAAACAGATTGTGCACTTTGCAAGGGCAGTTGCACTAATTTTCCCCAGAACTTAGTGAATGTGGTGAAGCTTCACTTTGTAAAGAATCAGATGAAAGGAAAATAAAATAACAGCATTTTTGCTTGCATGTGATTGGATAATGGAAATCAGCAAAGCTTTACCACATTCACTAAGCTCTGGGGAAAAATAGTGCAACTGCACTTACAAAGTGCACAGTCCATTTGCTAGTAGGTCAACCCCAGAGTTTCTTTAGGAGAGATTTTTTTTGAAACACAAATACTTATTCTACATATTTTAGACGTGTTTGACTAAATATAACAAGGCCGATGATTAGACTGCAGTTTTCTAGTATCTAGGTGCAAAAAGTGGCAGTTGGAGGTTGTAGAGAAAAAGAATGGTATGAGTCATGTGATCTCACATCAACTATCACTGCCTCTTAATCGGGCCACTCTCTAGTTGACAAAACGTTGAAAATCCCAAAACGGTTCAAGAAGATAAAAGTGGCTTAAACTGTCATCGGAAACCTAATATATATTATATATATATATATATATATATATATATATAACAATAGAAAGACGTTCATTCATCCAGCTTGCTTTGTTGTCCATTTAGGAATGTCAGATGTGTGTCCGTACATATACTGACAAGTGATTGCTATAGCAAAGTTGGGCCTTTAGTTGGTCTGCTGTTTGCCAAGAGCATGTGGCTTTCCAATTGTTTGGTCTTCGGCTCTTCAGCTTGGGCAGAGAGAAGGGCAGGGGCAGACATGTGGTGAGTGGCCATCTTCTGCTGTTGAATCGTATTGATGTAGCTGACAATCAGCAGAGTTATCTCCAAAATCTAAAGGAATAACAAGAATTAGACTTCAGATGATTAAGACATAATCCAGGACATATGCAATGGCTGGCTAAAGAGAATGTATACTTGTTTTGTATAACCAGTATTTTCTTGAATTACTTATTGCAGTCAGGACCACAAAAAATTGCTTAAAAAATGAAAAGTAAAAAAATATGAACTATATTGCATTTGAATACCCTGTATTCTTGTTTCCAGCCAGTAGTTGGCTTCTGATAACACGATTCCCAGGCTATGGTTATCTGCTTTGCTGAAAAAAAAACCCATTTCAATACCTAAAGCTGGTATTTACAAACAGGGCTGAATGAAAAGTGATTGACCCCTTTCCTCTCTGCCTGTTTAGTTCACTCTGTACTGAATTTTATTTAAAGAGAGAGGCTGAAAGTAAACAGCTTGTGCTGTCCTCTTTCTTTAGAAGACGCATAGTGTGCTGTTCATTTTCTGGCACAGAACGATCATATGTCTCATGTTTCTGGGTAACTTGGTGAATTAAACCCCGTAATCCTGGATTCATCACATTCCCCCACCTCCAACCATCCCTCAGCGCCCTTCCCCCAGCAGATACTCTAGGCCAGGGGTGTCCAAAGTATGGCCCTCCAGCTCTTTGAAGTACTACAAGTCCCATCATGCCTCTGCCTCTGGGTGTCTTGCCTGTTGATGTCAGAGTCTTGCAAGGCCTCATGGGACTTCCAGGTCAACACCTGGAGGGCCATAGTTTGGACACCCCTGCCCTAGGCTGTATATTTGCTATTTTTTTAAACTCTCCTTTTTCCAAAGTTTTCAGGCCTGTCACGTGATGCTGCAGAGACTTCCTTGCCTTTTCTCTAGGCTGAGCAGTCCTCAATGATGTAAACAGGACATGATGACATCACTGCACCATTACAGAGTGAATGCAGGGCATAGTGGTGATGTTCCCTCAGGGGCAGGGCCATGGTGTCCTGCCCCCACAGTATTTGGGAGTTAGGTCGCGCTGAGCATCATTTCACCTAGATGATTGAGAAGGACATCTTGTTGTGCAGAAGAGGCACTGCATGGGACAGCTCCAGATTGAAGCTGGGTTTTGGCAGCCTGAGTTCCTTTTTTTGTTTTTTGAACAGTCTGGGGGACCTTTTTTTTTTAATAAAATTATTCTGAAGTTGATTTTTAAACTTCTCCTAACAGTGCTGGTCCAATGAACAAAAGCCTAGATATCCTTGATCCTGTGGTCATATAATCTTTACTAAGGAAAGAACACGGGCAGCGCTGTAGCATTTTCTCCAAAAATAGTATGTTTTCCAAACCTTCTAATATTTTTCATTTACGTATCCCAGCAAGACCGCTACATAGTTCATTTTAACATTTCAGCAAAGGGCTACTTTAAAAAAAAAAAAAAAAAAAAAAAACAGCTTCTGCTTAAAAAAAAAAGTGCCTTCCCTCACCCCTCATTTGTTGGCCCACCATCTTTCTACTGGAAACAGAAAATGCTGTTCTTGTGCTTGTCCCCCTGTTATTTTTAATAGTAGTAATCTGGGCTGCTCAGTAGAAAAAATAAGCTTCTCTCGCTTTGGCTGCAACATTTTATTTGTTCCAGCGAAATCCGGAACCCGGGGAGGCCACTAAATGAACAAAAGAGCAAGCATTTTGTAATTACATTGCCTGGTCTTACAGTTTATAATAGCTTTTTCTCCCTCTCCTAACCTCCAGCACAGAAAATAAACATGCCTTTGTTTAAGCCGCAGGTGCTTAATTCATGCTTTTAATATCCGATCGTAGAAGAGTACTTTACTCCTAAAAGCCTACCTCCGTGCTGCTGCTAGCGTGTATTTCAGCTAATGTACCTACCTTCACTTTCGCCATAGCAAACAGAAGTTTTTCAGTTGGCTTGTCCTTTGTCTGCGTGTTAACCACCAGCATAAAGTCATCATGATAACCTCCGAAGGTCATTAGACTCCTGTGTGTGTATGTCAACAGCAACCTCTTAAGAAAGAGAAGAGTGGGTGGAAGGAAAGAGAAAAAAAAACAAAGGGGCTAAACATTATTTTTCATTCTAATTCAAACAACAATTGCACTAAAAGTCTCAAACAAAAGCAAAGCATTTACTTAATAAGTGACTATCGGGCAGCCATTATGTACTTATATAGGAGGGACATATAAGCGACACGTCTAGAGTACATTTGGTTAAATAAAGTCTAACTAGCTGGTAATCAATCTATATTAACCTGTAATGTTCAATTTGCTTTTAAGTAAAACACCTAGAGATGGGGAAATCAGGATTCTTTTTCATTTAACTAAAAAGGGGGTGGAATGTAATGTTTACACAGGCTCAATAATAATATTAATAATAATAGTAATGATAATATTAGTCAGACGTACCATAGTGTTATATTCCAGCACACTTATTCCATCTTCATGTACTGCCAGCCAGACTAAAGGACCTTCAAAAGGATTTGGAGCTATAGGCTGCAATGTAAAAAAATAATAATATATATATAAAAAAATATATATATATATATATATATATATATATATATATATATATATATATATATATATATATATATATATATATATATATATATATATATATATATTAGCAATAGATTATTGTTAGCCATATATTGCAGCACAAAGGGGTTTGTATACAAAAACAATTAAACGGACGCCACAATACTTTTAATTATTATTATTATACATGATTTATATACTGCCAATAGTTTGCTTGGCGCTTTACAATATAACGGGAGACAATACAGCAACAATACAGTTCAATACAAGAGGGTTAGGAGAGCCCTGATCCTGGGAGCTTACAATATAAGAGGGAGGGGCTAGAGGTGCAAAAGTTAGTAACTGTGGGGGATGGACTGGTAGGAGGAATAGAAGATTCCATTATTAGCTGAGGGCAGGATAGGCTTCCCTGAAGAGATAGGTTTTCAGACATCGCCTAAAAGTAAGCAGAGTAGGCGATAATCTGATAAATTGGGGTAGAGAGTTCCAGAGGATGGGGGAAGCTCGGGAGTAATGGGTAACGTTAGGGTGCAGCGGCTAGTCAATTTGATGTGTACCACCAAAAAACATTTAAAATTAAAATTCAGCCCCTGGATGACATCGGATGACGAAACGCATAGGGAAGGGTGTTGGACGTGACGTCACCACGCACACCGAATCTGTATTTGCAGCCAGAGTGGGCTTTGGCTACATGACAGAGCATATTATACTAGCGTCAGTCAAATAGACAAATGTGAGTGTTATTGGCGTTTTTTATGTAATGACATTTTAGACAGTTTTTCAATATGCAAACGCTTTCTTCCTTCTGTGGATGACATTATAACTTTTTATGAAATGATGTGGAGTGCCAATGTAAAGAAGCCTTGACAGAAACCTGCCAAATGGGGAGAAGCCGCAGACTTTGACCCATAGAGTCACATGCATTAGATGCTGGTTTATAAAATGACCAGCATTCTCTCTGGTGAGTTAATTTGGTGCATTTGGTGGAGAGCACTAACATGACTGAAGATCAGTCACTGCTTTTTTGAGCATCTTCTCACATGAAACTGTTTTGTTTTATATGAGACATTTCTTCTTCATATGGGACACTTTATTTAAATGTATTTATGTTTATTAGCATCTATTGCATGATTTGTGTTGTATTTGCACATGGTTTATGCGTTTGTGATTTATTTGCATGTTTTTATTGGTATTTTGTGATTTGTTGTATGCTGCACAATTGCACTTTATTATAATTTTGTCCTCCGTGTTGCATAATCCTGAGTTATGCAATAATTTAAAGTAGAACTAAAGGCAAAGCTTTTTTAAAGCGAAGTTCCAGCTGAAAAAAATAAAAATAAAAGTCAGCAGCTACAAAAACTGTAGCTGCTGACTTCTAAAATACAGTCCCATGGTCCAGCAGCGTTCTCCCCGCAGCTGGTTTCACCGGCCGGCTTCTCTCCCTGGCGCAGCATCCTCAGTGTGGGATCCCCGGCTGTGACAGCTTGCGGCTTCACAGCCAGGTGCCCACTGTGCACGCACAAGAAGCGCTGTGCTTTGTGAATGGTCCCGTAGTCTTCTGGGACCTGTCACGTGTCCCTACGGGGAGGGAGGACAACTTCTGCTTCTGATCGCCACAGGTGAGCGCAGCGGAAGTGGTAGCGGGTACCTGTCAAATTTGGGTACCTGCTCCCCCCCCCCCCCCCCGCTCCCCAAAGGTGCCAATCCTTAATGGGGAGCGGGGGACAAAGACTTAAAGCGGAACTTCCCCTTTTGGGTGGAGCTCCGCTTTAATCTTGGATAGAGTAAGGAAGGGTATAACCCCTGTCATTTTTTCCCCATTAGGGAGATTTCCCTTCTCATAGCCAAAACAGAAAGTGAGAGAAAAGCCCTCCAAAGTGAGTAAATTCCTGGTTGTCACCAGAGTCACCAGAACTAGTGTCCCCATTGGTAGATTTCCCCTCTATTACTGTTCTGGGGACAACCCAAAATTTGGGATTTTCTTTTACGTTCACTTTTGTTGTAAACATGACAAAATAAAGAAGGTGAATCTCCATAATGGGGGCACATATAGCAGTATAAGACCCCAGTCACACTGGGTGCAACTTGGCATGCAATTTACATGTCATGCAACTTGCAAATCTCATGCCAAATAGCACCTTAGTATCTGCAATTACAGCGGTCATATGGGTGCGGTTCAGACTTGGTTGGAGCCACACCGATTTCTAAAATAGTACATGGAATATTTTGGTGTGATTTGCATAGACATCTGTGTCAGATGTCTTGCAAATCTCACCTGAAATCAGCATGTCCCCTGACTTTGAAATTGTGCGACTTCACTGTAAGTCAGGGCGGACTGACCATTTGGAAACTTGGGCACTGCCAGAGGGCCCGGGGTCAGTAGGGGGCCCCATGAGATGCCCCTGGTACCTTTTTCATAGGCTTTTTTGAGTTTGGGCAAGGACACAGGGGCCCCATGATCCCCTATTGCCTGGGGGCCCAATGAGTTATCAGTCCCTGCTGTAAGTCGCACAATTATAAAGTTGGGCTTAATGTGTAAGATTGACGGGGTGCTAATCCCTCTCCCCTCTATCCAAAACTAAAAAAAAAAAAAAAAAAAAGTTTTGCCTTTAGTTGTACCGTAAAGATCCAGTGTCCTGGACTTGTCACACAATACTGTCTTGCAGCGCTACAGAGCACCACGGGCTTTATATAATAGGGTGCAGAGAGCTCTTCAAGGAATTGGGGCCACGTCTTATTCTTATTCTAAAAAGTTCACTTTTAAAGTCACCTTGTCACTATGGGGTCCAAACTAGACTAAAGTTGGACATACACTGTAAGATTTCTCTTGTTCAGCCCTGCAGGCTAAACTAGAGAAGTCTACCGATTCTCCCATACAAGCTAAACATCGTGGATGGAGGAATCTCCCCACCTGCTATTGTATCCTGACAGTTGCCACCCGTGGCTGTCAGAATACCTGAATATTAGCTGCATCTGATTGGATGGAGACACTATTCAGCTAACATTTTTCCAAGTGGCTCCTTTGATTTTTCAGATCGAAGGATGCTGGGTGGAAGGGTGCCAGCAAGGTCACCCACTGCTCAAATTTTGTTTGGATCACCGTGAAGGAAATCACCAAGAGTTAGCAACATGTTTTGAATTTGATTTAATTTTAATTCAAATTTCAGACTAAATTTTGTTCTATTATTTTCTATTCTATTCCTTTAGTTTCTATTCTATTTTATTATATTTTTATTTTTTTTTTCCTATTCTATTCTGTTTATTCTATTCTTTACAAACTTTGAATTTCAAAAGACGGCTATATTCTTTCTATTCTATTCAAATCTATTTTATTTTTTTCTATTCTATTTAAATCTATTCTGTTGCATTATTTTCTATTTTATTTTATTTTCTATTTTATTTCTTTTCTATTCTATTTAAATCTATTCTGTTGCATTATTTTCTATTTTATTTTATTTTATTTTCTATTTTATTCTTTTCTATTCTATTATTTTCAAAATTAGAATTTTGGAAGACAGCTATACTCTAACACTAATATACAGAGCCCTTGAAGGAAATCACCAAGAGTCAGCAATATGTTTAGAATCTGATTCGATTTCAATTCAAATTTCAGATGAAATTTAGCTATATTATTTTCTATTCTATTCCTTTATTTTCTATTCTATTTTATTTCTATTCTATTTTGTTTTGTTCTATTCTATTCTTTACAAAATTTGAATTTCAAAAGACGGCTATATGCTTTCTATTCTATTCATATCTATTCTATTGTTTTCTATTCTATTCAAATCTGTTCTATTGCATTATTTTCTATTTTATTTTATTCTCTATTTTATTCTTTCTATTCTGTTATATTCTATTATTTTCAAAATTAGAATTTTGGAAGACAGCTATAGTCTAACACTAATACACATAGCCCTTGAAGGAAATCACCAAGAGTCAGCAATATGTTTAGAATTTGATTCGACTGCAATTCAAATTTCAGACGAAATTTAGCTATATTATTTTCTATTCTATTCCTTTATTTTCTATTCTATTTTATCTATTCTATTCTGTTTTGTTCTATTCTATTCTTTACGAAATTTGATTTTCAAAAGACGGCTATATTCTATTCTATTCAAATCTATTCTATTTTTTTCTATTCTATTCAAATCTATTCTATTGCATTAATTTCTATTTTATTTTATTTATTTATTTTCTATTTTATTCTCTTCTGTTTTATTCTATTCTTTTCAAAATTAGAATTTTGGAAGACATCTATATTCTAACACTAATATACATAGCATAACATTGAAGGAAATCACAAAGAGTTAGCAATATGTTTCGAATTTGATTCAATTTTAATTCAAATTTCAGACTAAATTTAGTCATATTATTTTCTATTCTATTCCTTTAGTTTCTATTCTATTTTATTCTATTTTTATTTTTTTCCTATTCTATTCTGTTTATTCTATTCTTTACAAAATTAGAATTTCAAAAGACGGCTATATTCTATCTATTCTATTCAAATCTATTCTATTGTTTTCTATTCTATTCAAATCTATTCTATTTTTTTTCTATTCTATTCAAATCCGTTCTATTGCATTATTTTCTATTTTATTTTATTCTCTATTTTATTCTTTTCTATTCTGTTATATTCTATTATTTTCAAAATTAGAATTTTGGAAGACAGCTATAGTCTAACACTAATACACATAGCCCTTGAAGGAAATCACCAAGAGTCAGCAATATGTTTAGAATTTGATTCGATTTCAATTCAAATTTCAGACGAAATTTAGCTATATTATTTTCTATTCTATTCCATTATTTTCTATTCTATTTTTTTTTATTATTCTATTCTGTTTTGTTCTATTCTATTCTTTACGAAATTTTATTTTCAAAAGACGGCTATATTCTATTCTATTCAAATCTATTCTATTTTTTTCAATTCAAATCTATTCTATTGCATTAATTTCTATTTTATTTTATTTATTTATTTTCTATTTTATTCTCTTCTGTTTTATTCTATTCTTTTCAAAATTAGAATTTTGGAAGACATCTATATTCTAATACTAATATACATAGCATAACATTGAAGGAAATCACAAAGAGTTAGCAATATGTTTCGAATTTGATTCGACTTCAATTCGAATTTCAGATGAAATTTAGTTTTGTTATTTCGGATTCATATAAATTCATTACTTTGGTAATTTGGAAATTCGGATACATCCAAATCTCAGAATAATGAACATGTTGTCCAAATTTCAATCTGTAACGCATGTCTGAAAGATTCTTCAATGAAAACACCTGACCTCAATAATTTGGAAGTGTGCCCATATACAGGGTAGCACAGTGGCTAAATGGTTAGCACTTCTGCCTGGCAGTACTGGGGTCATTGGTTCAAATCCCAAACACAGCACCACCTGCCTGGAGTTTGTATGTTCTCCCTGTGCCTGCATGGGTTTCCTCCCACAATCTAAAGACATGCTGGTAGGTTAATTGGATCCTGTCTAAATTGGCCCTAGTATGTGTATGTATGAATGTGAGTTAGGGACCTTAGATTGTATGCCCCTTGAGGGTTAGGGACTGATGTGAATGTATAATATATATGTAAAGCGCTGTGTAAATTGATGGCGCTATATAAGTACCTGAAATAATTAATATAATGCATAAGAGTCGATGGCTTACATTGCAGTATAGCACATTTCTTACTTTTGCTGGGAAAAGGGTGGCACCAAAGAAAGTCCACTTTCTGGCAACTGTAAGGTATATCCGCACACAGTCTGAAGCACTGTGGCCGCGAAGTGCCATCCATCTTGACCCCAGTCTCTGCTGAAGCTGTCTGAAAGGAACAATAGCAGAGCAATGATCCAACGTGTGTTGTATGTAAAGAGGAAAAGCAAGCAAGGGACTAGACAAGGCTAGACATTGACTCCGGGATTCTGTACTTTTGAAAGTGTCAGGTCTTTCAAAGAAATTCTCAAGACTTGTTAAAGGTTACTAACATCAGTAGATAGGAATTCTGATTCCTGATTTTAGACCTAGGCCAAAATGATGCCATACATCCCAGGAGTCTTCATGGGCATTTTTTTTTCTTTCACCCTGGATAGGCTCAGCACACCCTCCTAGTTGCTTGCCTGAGCTAAGGGCAGATGGATTCCAGGAAGTAAATGATACATGAATCATCTGCTCTTACTCAAGATGGCCATGGCTAGAAATGCTAAGGGGTGTTTTTTTAAAGTGATTTCTCAACAAAATAAAGCATGGAGGCATGAATGGATGGGGAGGTTTGCTTTGCATATTAAAAATGATTAAATAGCGTTTTCAAATTGTGGTGTACATATATAGTTGAGTTCTCTTTAGAGAGAGAAAAGGGAAAGAGGTCAAAGTAACATGAGAAGAGAAATGCACCATACAGACACAAAGTGATGAACTGATCAGGGGGGCAGCACAGCGGCTAAATGGTTAGCACTTCCACCTTGCAGTACTTGGGTCATTGGTTCAAATCCCAGCCATAGCACCACCTGCCTGGAGTTTGCATGTTCTCCCTGTGCCTGTATAAGTTTCCTCTCACTCTCTAAATACATGCTGGTAGGTTAATTGGCTCCTGTCTAAATTGTCCTAGTATGTATGTGGGTTAAGGACCTTAGATTGTTTGCCTCTTGAGGGTTAGGGACTGATGTGAATGTACAATATATATGTAAAAGCACTGTATACATTGACAGCACCATAGAAGTACCTGAAATAAATAAAAAAAATATTACATGCAGCATGTTCATTCTCCTTTTCTGATGCAACAACATAAAAAGCCATTCACAATTCTGCCCCCAGCTACATCACTAGCCTAGCTCTCTAGCTCCCATGTCACCTCCTCCCATGCTCGCCTCCAGGACTTCCTCCGAGCCTCTCCCATCCTATGGAACTCCCTACCCCAATCTGTCCTATTTCCTATTCTATTTACTCTTAGATCGTCCCTGAAAACCCATCTCTTCAGAGAGGCTTTTCCTGCTCCCACCTAACAAATTTACTTTTATTTTCTCTATCAGCTCATCCCCCACAGTTATTGCCTTTTGTATCTATTGGCCCTCCCTTTTAGATTTGAAGCTCTACTGAACAGGGCCCTCTGATTCCTCCTGTATTGAATTGTATTGTAACTGTACTGTCTGCCCTCATGTTGTAACGTGCTGCACAAACTGTTGGTGCCATATAAATATATAATAGTATAATAATAATAATAATAATAATTAACAGTACAACACAAAATAAAAAAAATGATAGACATGTATGGCCTATGCCTGCTAGGGCATCTATATGGTGTCTATTCTAACGTCATACATCATGCAACAATCACTGTCCCATCCTCAAAAATCATAATTATACTTCTTTCAGCCATGATCACAGCATACAAATGGAGACAAACCCACCTCAACTGCTCCTCCGTGCAGTCCTCTCTATACCTCTTGGGATAAAACTTTTCCAGTGCTTGTTTTACTGCTTGGCTGGATTTCACTTGACCTGCTGTGGCCTGAAAGGGTCGTTCATAATCCCCACTTTCTACCTGGAGATGAAGAAGAGGTACATGCCATTATAATAATATGGAACGAGGTTCTTAAGAACCGGTACTACACTTCACATTTAGGATGTACATATGAGACAGAAATGTTTCCCCCTAGAGGTGGGATTTTAAAGGGCAGCAGTGCTCAAAGAGCCAAGATATCAAAAACAAAAGATTTTTCTATAAAAACACAATAATTTAATTGTAAAAAATGTATTAAAATGACAATTATTTTCAGGAAGCATGGTTACAAGAGATTACATGCACAATACTGTACATGATCAGTTTGACAGACATACTGCCAACGCGTTTCGAGATTAGACCGTCTCTTCTTCAGGGATGCAATACATGACTATGAATGTATTCTATAATTTAAGAACAATACACATTAACATAGTCCTAATGAGTTCAACAAACATGCCATACATAGACATATTTTAAAAGAAAAATAAAGGTAATGCAGAGGTGCTAAGAACTGATGTTGTCTGGATACACCGCTGTCCATCAATGCCACTGCAGTCACCATAAGGGGCCAAGAAAAGGAACCTCATCCCTGCTGTGGAATTTAACAATATCTCAGTGTAAATATATAGGATTCAGTCACCTAGGGCTTAATTATATTTAATGATGTTAAAGTGTAAGTAAACTCCTTTTTTCATATTTTACCTACAGGTAAGTCTTTAATAAGGCTTACTTGTAGGTACTGTAAATATCTCCTAAACATGGACCGTTTATTTTTGAGGTTCTCTTGACTCTCTTGCTCCTCATTGGCTCAGACACAGCAGCAGGAGTCAAAGGCTCCCCCTGCTGTCAATCACAGCCAGTGAGGAGGGAGTGGGGCAGAGCCGAGCTTTATGTTTCTATTGACACACAGAGCAGAGGCTCGGGAATGAGCATGCATGATGTGCATACCCCTCATGAATACGTGCTTGTGCACGAAATGCGTAGAGGAGGAGCCATACGCAGTGACATCACACTACCGAGACCACGAGGAGGTCTGGCGGCCTTCTTACTTTCTGTATATGGTCAGTGATCGCTCCTATGCTGTTTTTGTTTGACACTTTTATTTGCAATAAACGTTCTTGGCTGGAAAATTACTACACTATGGGCAGTATTCTTTTTGGCTCTTTGTGAGCCAATACTACCCTAGAGCCCATACCTGGAGGACGGCAGCTGTGTGGCAGTTTACCAGAGAGGAAGGAGATCTCTTGGACCTGACCAGACTGCTGACTAACTTTTAAGGGGGACCTCTGGCTCAATATCATACACTGCGCATTATGATTTTTTCATCTGGTGAGTGCGCATTTTTAACATTCCTTCTGACACACCACCTAAGTGAACATATGGGAACACAAGGATCACCATTTAGAGACTATTTTGATCACATCAGTCACTATTGTTCCTTGAACTGTTTCATGCTCCCTAGCTGGAAAGTTGTGTGATATATTTCTTTATCATCACATACACGGCACCTTATCATATTATATGTGAATTGCATTCTTGTCACTTTATATGGGCACTTTATTATATGCTTTTAATCATATTTATATAGCACTGCACCCCTATGTTGTAATGCATGAGTGCCCACATAGCAAGCAGCTTACTATGGAGGCACTAAGCTGGGGGAGAAAAGCCAGGAGTGCTGGCGAGGGACCCAAGAAGAGGAGGATCGGGCCTGCTCTGGGCAAAACACTACACAGAGCAGGTAAGTATAACATTTGTTATTTTTTAAAAAAATAAAATGTTTGCCTTTAGGAGTTTGTGGTACTCGGATACAGTTTAGTTCCACTTTAGGAACAATTGAAAATATTGTTAGTACAAACATAGTATTAGGATAGGAATTTCTGCCGCGTTTTCGCACAACCCAGTCTGCTTCTTCAGGATTGTTTGGAAGGAATATATCATGGAGAGAGAAGTAGTTACTGCATATGGTCATAAGCCCGACAAGCATTCGTGGGAAGATTGTAGGGGACTTAAGAGCTGGGAACCCCATAACAGGACTGAATGGCCACCTACTGAAACTTGACAGAACTTTTAGGTCCACCTATAGCAGTGGAAAGATGTATGAATGTGTGACTGCTAACAATGAAGTAGTCAGATATCTATAAACCATCTGATCCTTTGGGTCACAGAAAGCCCACTGTGGGGTGGGTCTTCATGGATCTATACTGTAGTTGGATGCCATGATGGGCCATATATCTACTAGCAAAGAAAAGTTTAAAAAACAGCGACAGAAAATAAAGTTGTTATGAACTTACAAAAGCGTCCTTCACCAGTTACTTGTGCAGAGTGAATTGATGATTAGCAATATCAAATGCAGCCCATAAGGAGCTTTTTTTGTAGTTCACAAAGTACAACCAGGCATTCACATACCCCCAGCTGAGAACCAATAAGGGATGCATTTACTTTAAAAAATGCATATATTTTCGCCCAGTGAAAGTGTATGTGCATTCATGTGTTTGAATGGAAGCAAAACAATGAATGGTATTAAAGTGTTACTAAACCCAGGACCCTGCATTCACTATATCTGGTCCCCCACAATACACAGGAAATGCAATTAGTTTAGTTAATATAAACTGCTAAATACTTTTTCCCATCAGCTATTAGAGCAGTCTTGTGACTTCTATCAGTGTCCAGCCAAGCACTAGCTAAAGCTTGTAGATGGAGTTTTCTTTCTGCTCTAGGAGGATGCAAAACCCCTGACCTCTGTCTGGATAGTGCTGATTGGCCCTGTGCTGATCACATGCACTCTCCCAAGAAAAAAAACAAAAAACCTCTCTAGCAATATACACCAAACTGAGCATGTGCCCATGGCTACAGTTCAGTCTGTCTTATCAGGAGATAAGAGGTGGTGTCTTGAAAAAGGGGAGGAACAGAGAAGAAAGGATCAAACAGTGTTTTTCACAATGCAGAGGATTAACCCCTTAGGTTCCACAGTGAGTATAACAAGCATGCTTTACTGCATATACAGACTGATTTTACTGTTGTGGGTTTAGTAACACTTTAACTGTGAAAGACAATTGGGTTCCCCACACCAACAGCATAGCCCAGTTAGCATGTAAAGAAAATTGGCTTCAGCTTATCTTCTCCCACGCCGCCCCCCTCTGACACATTTTACCCTCCCACGGGCTTAGTCATGGTGACATGGTGACTGGGCTGTGGTATTGGTGTGTGACTCCTTATAGCCTTTCAAAGTCGGTCTTAGTGAGCTAGGTGAGCCCCAATGAATGCAGACACCCGACAGCATTGGAATCATCGGGTTTCTGCAAGTCGGCAACTTGGAACGGCGCTCTTTATCTTTACCAGGGTCAAAATGAATTTTGTTAATCTATTGCCTGTGCTGTTTGAGTGTTTAATTTAAAACGTAATACTGCATTTGGCCTCTAGAAGGTGTCATTTTCCTAGGACACGGGTGTCAAACTGGCGGCCCTCCAGCTATTGCCAAACTACAAATCCCATAAGGCATTGCAAGTTTGACAGTTACAAGTACAGTATGACTGCCACAGGCAGAGGCATGATGGGACTTGTAGTTTCGCAACAACTGGAGGGCCGCTAGTTTGACACCCCTGTCCTAGGATATTTGACTTCATCTAGTGACTAAATGTCGTATTTTTCTATTTTAAATCAATGAAAAACAATCGATCTGCTCAGGAAACAGCCTAAAAACATTTGTTTCTTTGCCCTATTCACGCAGAAGAAATGTATATGCACTTTCACTGAGCAATAATAAACGTATTTTAATGAATCTGCACTGGGATAACACGTGTGGCTGCTGGCAAACTAAGTTTAATATACACAAACCTAAAGACTTACAATATCATAAAATGATGTGGAGAACAAAAAAAAAAGAGTAAACAATGTTCAATGTGCCAATATGAAATCTCTCTTAATTAAAAGTCCATATATATTCAGATGAAAAACATCTTCCACCATCCAGAAGATCCTTGTAGTGTAACGAAAACACAGAACGCCACCACCCAAACCACTTCAATACCGGGCACTTTCACCCCCTTCCTGCCCAGGCCAATTTTCAGCTTTCAGCACTGTCGCGCTTTGAATGACAATTGCGCGGTCATCCAACATTCTACCAAAATGTAATTTTTATCATTTGTTTTTCAGACAAACAATTTTTTTCTTTTGGTAGTATTTGATCACTATTGGTTTTTGTTTTATTTTTGTGCTAAATAAATGAAAAAAGACTGAAAATTTTGGAGGAAAAAAAAAGTGTTTTTCTTCATTCTAAAATTTTGCAAATAAATATTTGTTCTACAAAAAGATAGGCCTGTATTCTGTTACATTTCTTTGGTGAAAATCAGTGTTTAATATTTAGTCTGCAGGAAAGTTATAGAGTCCACAAACTATAGTATACAGGTGAAACTCGAAAAATTAGAATATCGTGCAAAAAGTTCATTTATTTCAGTAATACAACTTAAAAGGTGAAACTAATATATGAGACAGACTCATTACATGCAAAGCAAGATAGTTCAAGCTTTTCACAATATTCTAATTTTCTGAGATTGTGAATTTGGGGTTTTCAAGAGCTGTAAGCCATAATCATCACAATGATGACAAATCACGGCTTGAACTATCTTGCTTTGCATGTAATGAGTCTATCTCATATATTAGTTTCACCTTTTAAGTTGCATTACTGAAATAAATGAACTTTTGCACGATATTAAAATTTTTCGAGTTTCACCTGTATACTGTATCTGAAAATTGATCAATCCTGATGTACTGATGGCCAATCTCATTTTTTGAATCCTCAAAATGCCAGAACAGTACAAATACCCCTCAAAATGACTCCTTTTTTTAAAGGAAACAGTCCAAGGTATTTAGTAAAAGGTATGGCGATTTTTGTGAAGTTATACTTTTTGGGAAAATAAAGAAATGTAAAAATAAATTTCACATGCTGTCACCAGTGCAGTAAAGCAACATCATATAACTGGTGTGGAGGTGTTCAGGGACACTGACTGGTGCAAGTACGAAAAAAAAAAACCCAAAAAACAAAAACATTTTTAATATTTTTTTTTCTTTTTTATTATTTTCGTTTCTTTTTTTTTTTTTTTTTACAATTTTATTTCACACAGTGTGACCAGAACAATACAATGTTATCATACTAACACTATACTCTCCTCTCCTTTAGGCGCACCCTGAAAACCCATCTCTTCAGGGAAGCCTACCCCACCCCCTGCTAACTTGACCGACCTCCTCCACTCCTCCTACCACTCCATCCCCCACAGCTATCTCCTCCTGTGCCACCATCCCCTCCCTTCTAGATTGTAAGCTCGAAAGAGCAGGGCCCTCGATCCCCTCATGTTTTGCATTGTATTGGTATTGTTCTGTCACATGTTCTGTCCCCCTTTGTAATGTACAGCGCTGAGCAAACCATTGGCGCTTTATAAATACTGTATAATAATAATAAATAATTTCACTGCTATAAGCAGGCATTTTTACTGATTAATTCATATGTGTTGTTGTGATTAGCTGTGATTGGCCCTCACCCCCCTGCATGCTCACCTGCATGCGCAAAAGTTGATCCCGTGTCGGTATATAAACAGCGGTTGCACCATGTATGTGAGGTATCGCTGTGAACATCAGATCAAGGGCAGTAATTCTAGCACTAGACCTGTGTAAATATAAATTGCTGACCTGTAAAGGCTTTTAAAGCGTCGCCTATCAATATTAAAGATGTATGTATTTGTCACCATTGCACAGCCATGCACAATTTTAAAGCATGTCATGTTTGGTATCTATTTACTCGGCGTAACATCATCTTTTAAATTTTAATCTACCAATTGGGCAATATATATTTTATTTTTGTGCATTAATATTCTAAAAAGTGCATTTTTCCCCATACGATTTGTGTTTGAAAAATCGCTTTGCAAACACTGTGTGACGTACAAAATTTCAACACCCACCGTTTTATTCTCTAGGGCCTCTGCTTTAAAAAAAAAAATATATAATGTTTGGGGGTTCAAAGTAATTTTCTAGCAAAAAACCCAGTGTTTTCATGTGAACAAAAAGTGTCAGAAAAGGCTTGGTCTTCAAGAGAGGGTGATGTGTGGCATAAGCTTCTAATGTTGGCTCTGAAATGCCAGGATAGTAGAAACAATCCCTCCAAATGACCCCTTTTTGGAAAATAGATACTCCAAGGTATTTACTAAGCGGCATGGTGAGTATTTTGTAGATCTCATTTGTTGCCACATGTTTTTGGAAAACTATGAAAGAAAACAAAAATGTGTTTTTTCTCTTCTTTTCCTTTTCAAAACCCTGTGACAAAAATATCTGTAAAATACTCACCAAAAATTCTTGGGGGTGTCTACTTTCCAAAAAGGGGACATTTGGGGTGGGGGGGGGGGATTTGTATACTATCCTGGCATTTTAGGCCCTCCGAAACTGTGATAGGTAGTGGGGAAGTGATATGAGGAAATATGTCCTTTGAAAACCTGGAGGTGGTCATTGGATTTTAAGGGCCTGTATGTAGCTAGGCTCCCAAAAAGTCTCTTGCATGTGGTATCCCCATACTCAGGAGAAGTAGAAGAATGTGTTTTGGAGTGTTACTCCACATATACCCATGGCATGCATGAGCAATATATCATTTAAGTGACAACTTTGTGTAAAAAAAAAAAAATTGTCATTTTCAAAAAATTTGTGGCAAAAAATAAAATGTTCCATGGACTCAACATGCCTCTCTGCAAAATCCTTGAGGTGTCTACTTTCCAAAAAAGGGTCATTGGGGGGGGGTTTGTACTGCCCTGGCATTTTTGCACCTCAAGAAATGTGATAGGCAGTCACAAAGTAAAAGCTGTGTAAATTCCAATATATATACCATAGTTTGTAGATGCTAAAACTTTCACACAAACCAATTAATATACATGCATTGGGATTTTTTTTAACAAAGACATGTATACATTGCGGCCTAAATTTATGACTAACTTTGAGTTTATTGGAGTTTATTGGATATTTTTTAAAACCAAAACTGAAAAACTTTTTTTTTTTCAACATTTTCGGTCTTTTTTTGTTTATAGCGCAAAAAATAAAAACCGCACAGATGATCAAATACCACTAAAAGAAAGCTCTATTTGTGTGAAAAAAGGACAAAAATTTAGTTTGGGTACAGCATTGCATGGCCGCGTGATTACCAGTTGAAATAGCGCAGTGCCGAACAGCAAAAAATGGCCTGGTCATGAAGGGGGGGGTAAATCTTCCGGAGGGCAAGTGGTTAAGAGAGACTTCACGTTTGGCACATTGAACATGTTTATTCACTTTCACTGGACAAATTTTTTTTTATAAATAATAAGTTCACTATAAAAAGCTTGATAAAAAATGAAGAGCTACTTAAGCCACTCAGATATCTAAAGTGATTTCCGGGCCCAGAAAAGCAATGCTCCATTGTCCAGCTGTAGAATAATAGGTCTCTATAGAATGTACAATATTCACAGTGTTTCCAGTGACATTCTGTGGGAGCAGACACTTATGTAAGAGCTCTCCCTGGCTTGAGTTTATTTCTTTTAAAACCACTTTGCCTCCATTATTCCATACATTAGGCACATTACCGAACACACAAACACATTAAAACAATACACTAATAATACCTTGACTTCACATCTGCTATCCACCTGCAATATACAGGAAAAGGCAAAAGAGCAAAAGAGATGGAGAAAAGGTTAAATCTCCTCGGGAAGCCATCTTTACATAGGGAATTCAAATTGTATAATTGCAGGTTAATAGTGTACTGCACATTAGCGAATGCTTCATTATAAGTAATTGCTTTGGAAATTGCATTAAAAGGTATATGGAATTCCTTTCTCAGAGGTTACCTGGGCGAGTAGAGCAGCCAATTCCAGCGCCAGCTCCTTATTGACTGGAAAGAGACCATTAATGATTTTATCGTTCGTCTGGTACATTAAAAGCAGCTTTTCTCTCTCTGTCTCCCCTCGCACCTGCGCCGAAAAACTCAGCCTGCAATACAAAATAAGAAAAGTCAGGGTACATACCCAGAGAACAGTGCCGGTCAATGCCATGGTTGTACAGCCAGTACTGAGATATACCAGTGGCGGACTGACCATTTGGAAACTCGGGCACTGCCCGAGGGCCCGGGGTCAGTAAGAGTATCATGAGATGCCCCTGGTACCTTTTTCATAGGCTTTTTTTTTGTTTGGGCAAGGACACAGGGGCCCCATGATCCCCTATTGCCCGGGGGCCCCATGAGTTGTCAGTCCGCTCCTGTATACTACTGCTGTATTTTTCAAAGCTTACAGACACAATGAAGCCTTGTTCACACGGGGCCTACTATAGCATACGCACATGTAAGGGCCGTATTTACCCGTTACGGTACACAGAGAGGTTCTCTGTGTACCTCTCTGCAGGCAGTCCCTTTGAAGTTAATTGGGATGCAGCAGCTGCATGTGACAGGTGCATGGCCCCAAATACAGACAGTGTGAGTTCAAGAACACACATCCATACAGATATCAAACTGGGAGCAGTGGCTATGTCTGTGCAGCTGCTGCATCCCATTTGACATGAATGGGACTGCCTGCACAGGAATGCACGGAACACCTGTAAACAGGGCCCTCACCTAGGTGTACAGTGAAGGAAATAAGTATTTGATCCCCTGCTGATTTTTAATGTTTTCCCACTCACAAAGAAACGATCAGTCTAAAAATCGAATAGTAGGTGTATTGTAACACTGAGAGACAGAATAGCAACAAAAAATTCAAAAGAAATGCATGTCTAACAAATTATGCACTGATGTGCATGTTCATGAGGGAAATAAGTATTTGATCCTCTATCATTCAGCAGGATTTCTGGCTACCAGGTGTCTTTCATACAGGTAACAAGCTGAGATTAGAAGGAGTCTCCTAAAGGGAGTGCTGCTAATCACAAAGCACATGTCCAAGCCCATCTGAAGTTTGCCACTGAACATCTGAATGATGCAGAGGAGGACTGGTTGAAAATGTGGTCAGATGAGAACAAAATCAAGCTCTTTGGCATCAACTCAACTCGCCATGTTTGGAGGAGGAGGAATGCTGCCTATGACCCCAAGAACACCATCCCAACTGTCAAACATGGTGGTGGAAACATTCTGCTTTGAGGGTTTTTTTCTGCTAAGGGGACAGGACAACTGCACTGCATCAAAGGAACGATGGACGGGGCAATGTGCCATCAAATCTTGGGTGAGAACCTACTTCTCTCAGCCAAGGCATTGAAAATGGGTCATGGATGGGTGTTCCAGCATGACAATGACCCAAAACACACGGACAAGGCAACATAGGAGTGGCCCAAGAAGAAGCACATTAAGGTCTTGGAGTGGCCTAGCCAGTCTCCAGACCTTAATCCAATTGAAAATCTGTGGAGGGAGCTGAAAGTTCGAGTTGCCAAACATCAGCCACCAAACCTTCATGACTTGGAGAGGATCTGCCAAGAGGAGTGGGCCAAAATCCCTCCTGAGATGTGTGCAAACCTGGTGGTCAACTACAGGAAACGTCTGACCTCTGTGATTGCCAACAAGGGATTTGCCACCAAGTACTAAGTTATGTTTTGTGAAGGGGATCAAATACTTGTTTCTCTCACGAACATGCAAATCAGTGCATCATTTGTTAGACATGCATTTCTTTTTAATTTTTTGTTACTATTCTGTCTCTCAGTGTTACAATACATCTACCATTCGATTTTTAGACTGATCATTTCTTTGTGAGTGGGTAAACATTCAAAATCAGCAGGGGATCAAATACTTATTTCCTTCACTGTATGTGTGAACAAGACCTCACATACATAAGCAGGTCCTGCCATTCAAGGCAAAGGGATTTGCTTGCCAACCACCTAACCCACATATAAAAAAATAAACTCTACACCCATATATATTCCCCACAGAGGCAGACTGTCGGAGCTCTAGCTCTGTGTGTCCTCCCAACACAAGTCCAACTTAGAAATGAAGATTTGAAGAGCCGGGAACTAGTCCTCCCGAATGTTTTACTTTATTGTAACAAGTAAAGTGTGCAGATAAAAATGGCTTACGTCTTTCTGCAATAAGCCTTAATCATAGCCATTGTCGAAACGCGTAAACCGTTTTTGTCTGTACACTTTACTCATTAGAATAAAGTAAAACATTTGAGAGGATGAGCTGCCGGCTCTTCAAATCTTCATTTCTAACCCACATATGCTCACCTGCCATGTGCTCCCCTGCTGTGTCATCGGAGTCAATACAAAATATTGATGTTTCTGTGCATGTGACCTTGTCCCATATTACAATGCTCAGGCCTGGGTGGGTCAGGGAGGGAGAAGGTGACATCATCAGCCTCCAACATGAAGATTACACAGGATTAGGCCTAAATGGAACAGAGCAACGAGGTATCGCAGTGAAGGTCAAAGTAAGTGGACTGAGGGGTGACTCTCTCTCCTCGCCCCCATTCAAGGCAATGATGAAGTCTCTTTAGGGCTCCTTCACACCTGCTTTAGTCTCTGAACAGCAAGGTTTGGATCACTCTTTGGAGAGCATATCACAGATGGTGAGAAAGTGTTGTATCACCTCCTCACCACCTGCTTTAACCCCTTGACACCTGCACTAGCATGCCATGACCATGTGCACTGCATGCAATGGTGGGGTGCTTGCAGAACAGCCTTATTAATTGGAATTGTTTACGTTTGGTGGCAGCTATGCCTGATGACAATGATAGGGGGTATAGTTCCTGCCATGCAAAGCATCGTGGTGTTGGCATATGCACACCCCCAGCCACTGCCTCTGCAGCTAAAGGGGGAGCAGTTGGGGGGCTGGAGGTAAAATCACAGTTCAACTGCAGAGTTTTACCACTCCTCAACTGCTAGTTTTTAACGAGCTTTTAAAGTGTAACTTGTAACATTCCCATTAAAGATCCCTGTGAATGGATCTGTGAATGAATGAATGAATGAATAAATGAATGCAGCGGCTGTGCAGTGGAACCACGTATGGGTGCATTGAATTCCAAAGAAAACAGGATGTTCCAAGGTAAGGTAAGTAAGGGAGGGGGGCAGTTTGAGGGTGGGGGGGGGGCTTGGGAATGTGACCATATTTCATGTTACACCCTAAATATAGGTATAACAAGAAACATGGTGACAATTGTGGACGTAGCCTTTAACGGGGCCACATACAACACTAAAAAAAATACTGGTGAGGGTTCTAAACCTTCCCTATTCTACCCCAATTTTTTTTTTTAAGTTTTTGATGAAGAGTAGTAACCCCAAGCAACCAATCAGATTTCACCTTGATGAAGTCATATCAAACAGCAATGAGTCTGGCTTGGTGAACGATGGAGAAAGTCATGGACTATGGATATCCTCCAGATTTTTAGAAAAGCTCTAAACCCAGCAAGGTAAATATACTGTGGACTGCAAATGCAGTTGCTTTATATCCGAAGGGACGCTCTTAAATGAGGCGAAGCTCTGCTGATTTCTTTCATCCAATCATGTGCAGTGCACAGCCTATTTGCCTTTAGTATATCAACCCCTATGTTTCATTTGTTTTCCACTTAGTAACAATGAAAAGATGGTAGGAGGTAGGCACCTGTTCTTGTAGGTGAGTCTCACGGTCCGAGTCCCGTCACATTTCCCAGGGAGCTGCTCCTTAGATGCCTGCTCCCACTTTGAAATGATGTCACAGATCTGGCGAGACGAAAAAAGAAAAACAGTTTATGTTACACAACTGTTTTGAACCTCAAGATCAAAACCCTAAAGCACAAAGATAGATACTAATTGCTGTCTATATAAGTGAACTGCTATTTCTAACCCCATATAGGAAAGAGTCACCAGTATAATCACATCACAAAATTCTACAATAAAAACCTGGTTTAGACTCAGCCTCTCCTTATTATTATTATACAGGATTTATATAGCGCCAACAGTTTGCTCAGCACTTTACAATATAACGGGAGACAATACAGCAACAATACAGTTCAATACAAGAGGGATTTGAGGGCCCTGCATTGTAAAAAAAAAAAAAAAAAAAAGTATATATATATTAGCAACAGACAATTGTTGTTAGCCATATACTGCAGCACAAAGGGATGTATATATAAAAAACAATTAAACAGACGCCACAGTACTTTTAATTATTATTATTATACAGGATTTATATAGCGCCAACAGTTTGTTCAGCGCTTTACAATATAAGGGAGACAATACAGCAACAATACAGTTCAATACGAGAGGGATAGGAGGACCCTGATCCTTGGAGCTTACAATCTAGGAGGGAGGGGCTATTGGTACAAAAGGTAGTAACTGTGTACTCCTTGAGTATTTGTATCTCAAACGCAATTCATATAACATGTAACACTTAGGTTCCATGCACACTAGGAGCCTACAAAAATATGGCGGAAAAAACGCTGAATAAAAAAAGGCTCAATATTAGCCAGCTTTTTTAAGTTTTTGTGACGGTGTTTAACAGTTCCCCGCATCCTTAACAACCGGTGACTTGTCAGCTTCAAGGGGGTCCCCCCCCATCCATACCAGGTCCTTCAGCGTGGGTCCCTCCCAAAGTCCATACCAGACCCCAAACCAAGCATGCAGCCCGGCAAGTCTCATAAAGAGGTGGGGTGCAAGTGCCCCCTGCTCCTGAAGCATACCATGCCCTCAACAAAGGGGGGATGCTTTGGGGAAGGGGGGCTCCCCCCTCCAAATCACCTTGTCCCCATGGGGACAAGGGCCACCTCCCCGCAACCATAGGTGGTGGTTGTGGGAGTCTGCTGGTGGGAGGCTTATCAGAATCTTGAAGCCCCCTTTAACCAGGGGTCCCCAGATCCTGGCTACCCCATATGAATGAGTATGGGGCACATAGTATCCATACTCCTTCACAAAAAAAAGACAGGAGCCAGTTTTTGACCTTTATTAAAAAATAACAAAAAAAAATTGTCCCATAGGGTAAATCTATCATCAATCATGATAAATGCTGTTCCGCTGACCCACAGTTAAAAAAAAAAAAAAAAAAAAAGGAGGTCTGTGCCCGATGCTGGCTCCCACCGACTGAAAGCTTCACTTTGCAGCTGCTGCAAATGTCACCCTCTCCATTGTGATATCATTGACAGGACATACTGGGTCAATGACATTACAAGGAGGCGAGTTAGTGGAGCAACGTTCATAATGGCTGAGGATGGATCTACATCGGGGAACATTTTTTTCTTTAATTTTTAAAAACCTTTTTTTTATAAAGGACTTGTCAAAACTTGACTCCTGTCTTTATTTACACTACTCTTTTTTTGTGAAGAAGTAGGGGTACTATGTACCCCATACTCATTCACATACGGTGGGACAGGACCTGGGGGATCGCCAATAAAGTAAACAGATTGTGCATATAATCCTTAAAATAATTAAGTTTAAAAAAAAAACTCTGAGAAAAGCAATGGGCTTGTGGGCCTTTGGCATATATATACAGTTGCAAGAAAAAGTATGTGAACCCCTTGGGATTACGTGGAGTTTTGCATGAATTGGGCATAAAATGTGCTCTGAACGTTATCTACAGTTGCAAGAAAAAGTATGTGAACCCCTTGGGATTACGTGGAGTTTTGCATGAATTGGGCATAAAATGTGCTCTGAACGTCATCTAAGTCACAACCATAGAAGAACACAGTCTGCTGAACATAATACTACACAAACATTAGATGTTGCCATGGTTTAATTGCACATAATATGTAAACATTCACAGTGCAGGGAGGAAAAAGTATGTGAACCTTTGGACTTAATAACTGTTTGACCCTCCTTTGGCAGCAATAACCTCAACCAAACGTTTCCTGTAGTTGCAGATCAGACCTGCACAACGATCTGGAGTAATTTTGGACCACTCCTCTTCACAAAACTGTTTCAGTGTGGCAATATTCTTGGGATGTCTGGTGTGAATCGCTCTCTTAAGGTCATGCCACAGCATTTCAATCGGGTTGAGGTCAGGACTCTGACTGGGCCACTCCAGAAGGCGTATTCTGTGCTGTTTCAGCCATTGTTTTGTTGAATTACTTGTATGCTTTGGGTCATTGTCCTGTTGCATCACCCATCCTCTACGGAGCTTCAGTTGGCAGACAGATGGTCATACGTTTTCCTGCAAAATGTCTTGATAAACTCTGGAATTCATTTTCCCATTAATGACAACAATCCGTCCAGGCCCTGAGGCAGCAAAGCAGCCCCAAACCATGATGCTCCCTCCGTCATGTTTTACAGCGGGGGATGAGGTTTTGATGTTGGTGTGCTGTGCCTTTTTTTCTCCACACATAGTGTTGTGTGTTCTTCCCAAACAACTCAATCTTGGTTTCATCTGTCCACAGTGTATTTTGCCAGTAGTGCTGTGGAACATCCAGGTGCTCTTTTGCAAACTTCAAACGTGCTATAATATTCCTTTTGGACAGCAATGGCTTCCTCCGTGGTGTCCTCCCATGTACTCCATTCTTGTTTAATGTTTTCCTTATTGTAGATGTGTCAACAAAAATGTTAGCATGTGCCAGAGATTTCTGTAGGTCTTTAGCTGACACTCTGGGATTCTTCTTTACCTCATGCAGCATTCTGCGCTGTGCTCTTGCAGTCATTTTTACAGGACGACCACACCTAGGGAGAGTAGCAACAGTGCTAAACTTTCTCCATTTGTAGACAGTCTGTCTTACTGTGGACACATGAACATCAAGGCTTTTGGAGATACTTTTGTAACCCTTTCCAGCTTCATGCAAGTCAACAATTATTGATCGTAGGTCTTCTGAGAGCTCTTTTCTGCGAGGCATGGCTCACATCAGACAGTACTTCTTGAAACCAGTAAACCCAAAGCAGGTGTGTGTTTTTTAAGGGCAGGACAGCTGTCAGCAACACATCCAATATCATCACACTGATTGGAGTCAAGGTTGGCTCACTCCTGGCTCTAAATAGCTCTGGGAGAAGTCATTAAGCTAGGGGTTCACATACTTTTTCCTCCCTGCACTGTGAATGTTTACATGTTATGTGCAATTAAACCATGGCAACATCTAATGTTTGTGTAGTATTATGTTCAGCAGACTGTGTTCTTCTATTGTTGTGACTTAGATGACGTTCAGAGCACATTTTATGCCCAATTCATGCAAAACTCCACGTAATCCCAAGGGGTTCACATACTTTTTCTTGCAACTGTAAGTCACAACAATAGAAGAATACAGTCTGCTGAACATAATACTACACAAATATTAGATGTTGCCATGGTTTAATTGCACATAACATGTAAACATTCACAATGCAGGGAGGAAAAAGTATGTGAACCTTTGGACTTAATAACTGGTTGACCCTCCTTTGGCAGCAATAACCTCAACCAAACGTTTCCTGTAGTTGCAGATCAGACCTGCACAATGATCTGGAGTAATTTTGGACCACTCCTCTTCAGAAAACTGTTTCAGTGTAGCAATATTCTTCGGATGTCTGGTGTGAATCGCTCTCTTAAGGTCATGCCACAGCATTTCAATCGGGTTGAGGTCAGGACTCTGACTGGGCCACTCCAGAAGACGTATTCAGTGCTGTTGCAGCCATTGTTTTGTTGAATTACTTGTATGCTTTGGGTCATTGTCCTGTTGAATCACCCATCCTCTGCGGAGTTTCAGTTGGCGGACAGATGGTCGTACGTTTTCCTGCAAAATGTCTTGATAAACTCTTGAATTCATTTTCCCATCAATGACAACAATCCGTCCAGGCCCTGAGGCAGCAAAGCAGCCCCAAACCATGATGCTCCCTCCGCCATGTTTTACAGTGGGGATGAGGTTTTGATGTTGGTGTGCTGTGCCTTTTTTTCTCCTCACATAGTGTTGTGTGTTCTTCCCAAACAACTCAATCTTGGTTTCATCTGTCCACAGTATATTTTGCCAGTAGTGCTGTGGAACATCCAGGTGCTCTTTTGCAAACTTCAAACATACTGCAATATTCTTTTTGGACAGCAATGGCTTCCTCCGTGGTGTCCTCCCATGTACTCCATTCTTGTTTAATGTTTTCCTTATTGTAGATGTGTCAACAAAAATGTTAGCATGTGCCAGAGATTTCTGTAGGTCTTTAGCTGACACTCTGGGATTCTTCTTTACCTCATGCAGCATTCTGCGCTGTGCTCTTGCAGTCATTTTTACAGGACGACCACACCTAGGGGGAGTAGCAACAGTGCTAAACCTTCTCCATTTGTAGACAGTCTGTCTTACCGTGGACACATGAACATCAATGCTTTTGGAGATACTTTTGTAACCCTTTCCAGCTTCATGCAAGTCAACAATTCTTGATCGTAGGTCTTCTGAGAGCTCTTTTCTGCGAGACACGGTTCACATCAGACAGTGCTTCTTGAAACCAGTAAACCCAAAACAGGTGTGTGTTTTCTAAGGGCAGGACAGCTGTCAGCAACACATCCAATATCATCACACTGACTGGAGTCAAGGTTGGCTCACTCCTGGCTCCAATTAGCTCTGGGAGAAGTCATTAAGCTAGGGCCTCACATACTTTTTCCTCCCTGCACTGTGAATGTTTACATGTTATGTGCAATTAAACCATGGCAACATCTAATGTTTGTGTAGTATTATGTTCAGCAGACTGTGTTCTTCTATTGTTGTGACTTAGATGAAGTTCAGAGCACATTTTATGCCCAATTCATGCAAAACTCCACGTAATCCCAAGGGGTTCACATACCTTTTCTTGCAACTGTATATATATCCATGAGGAACAGACTCCTGGGAAGATGAACAGTATGTTAGAGTTCCATAAAGATAAGGTTTTCAACTTGAAAGCTCCCAAATAACATTGGTGGTGCCCCATTTGTAGACTAAGGGTAGACTAAGGGCACAGTGGTCCACAGGAGGGAATGACATACAGTTGTGACCAAAATTATTCAACCCCCAATGCTTTTCCCACTATAGTACATTTGGTTGTATAACCCCATCACTGAGGAAAATTGTTTATGTGATTTATCCTCCTCTGGACCCCCGTGCCCTTTGTCTACAAACGGGGCACCACCAGTGTTTTATTTGAGAGCTTTCAAACATGGTGGAAAGAGAATGGTCATTTTTTTCACAGGAAGGGCAATGGCTATAAGAAGATTGCAAAGATGTTAAACATACCAAGAGACACCTTAGGAAGCATCACGAGGCACAAGGCAAAGTGTTAAACCTACCTGGTCGTGGCAAAAGGATGCTTTCGGACTGCTGTGCGCTACCTGACAGAGAAGTCCCCGTGTGACTGCTGAGGAACTGAGAAAAGATTTGTGATGTGGGTACAGAAGTTTCAGCCCAGACAATAAGACGACACTGCGTAGGCCTCCGTGCCAGAGGGCAAACCCCCTTGCTTCTCCACAAGAATAAGAAGAGTCACTGCAGTATGCCAAAAAGCCATGTGGACAAACACCTGTGGGATAGGTTCTGTGGACTGATGAAACTTAGAACTGTTTGGGCCCATGGATCAACGCTAGGAGGGAAGAACTATGATGAAAAGTTACACCTTGCCTACTGTGAAGCATGGTGGGAGGGTCAATCATGCTTTGGGGGATGGCCGTTTTGCTTCTGCAGGTACAGGGAGCTTAGCTTGTGCAAGGGGAATTCTCTTCAGTACCAGGGGGGATGGAAACGTGATGCTAGTTGGGTGGGAGAGTTGGACCTTTCAACAGGACAATGATGGTCCACTAGAGCATGGTTGGAGGAAAGGCTGGAAGGGGGTGTCGCAGTCACCAGCTGGTGGAGGGTGGTGGGGTGGCAAGCCTAAGAAGTACTGAACTGGGGCCTTTGCCCATGGAATGGGCGAAGAAGATACCCGTGGACACTTGTGTCAAGCTATGCTTCACGTTTTAAAAGCTGTATAACTGTAAAAGGATGCTGTACTAAGTACTAAGATTGAATGTCACTTGGGGGTTGAATAAAAACTGATAATGCTGTGAGCACAGAAAAGACATTTGTGGTTATTTTTATAACTGTTATGTTATATTTGTCTGACCTACAAGGCCTCTTTAATGTAAATGTAAGCAAGATGACTGAATGATCAAAAGCTTTCAGTGGGGGTTGAATAATTTTGGTCACATACTATCTCATCTTCCCAGTAATTGGTTATAACCCCATCACTGAGGAAAGTGTGATTTATTCCTCTGGATATACAAACGGGGCCACAACCCAGTGTTATTTGAGAGCTTTCAAATGGAAACATTATTTTTTATGGAACTCTAACCCACAGTGTATTGCAAACAAGGGATTATCTTGGGTGACAATTTTGGGGACCTAGTGAGACACTGCCTGTGCTGCACCCATTTTAATCTGAGGAGGCTGTAAGGCAAATATATTTCCCGCACAAGGAAGACATTGGGCTTTGGCTCTGGGGATGGCCGGCTGCTTTCCGGAGAGGTTATGCTTAGTTTGAATAACTTTATGAGATGGGGGGGGACAAGGGGGTGTTTTGGTGGAGGGTTGGCGGTGGGGGCTGAAGGGGCGTGGGTGCTGGTGGTGGTGGGGCCAAATTTTAGTATTGCCTAGGGCAGCACAAGAACTAAATACACCACTGACTCTAACATACTATCCATCTTCCCAGGATCTATTCCTCATGGATATACGCCAAAAGCCAAGCCCATTGCTTTGCTCAGAGTTTTTTTTTGAAAGTTAATTATTTTAAGGATTATATTCTGAATCTGTTCTTTACTTTATTGGGGATCACCTTGGTAATGTTATATATGCAATATGCAGGGGCGGACTGACAACTCATGGGGCCCCCGGGCAATAGGGGATCATGGGGCCCCTGTGTCCTTGCCCAAACCCAAAAAAGCCTATGAAAAAAGGTACCAGGGGCATCTCATGGGGCCCCCTACTGACCCCGGGCCCTCGGGCAGTGCCCGAGTTTCCAAATGGTCAGTCCGCCCCTGGCAATATGTGATACAATAATACTACACAGATACATGTGAGGTATTTCAAGTAAGAGAGTGAAAGGGGGGAATTTATATGCTTTTGATTTTAATTTTGTTTTGTGTAGTCTCCTTGTATCTCTGTATATTTTTAACTTTTGCATTAACAAAGTAAAGCATAATATACAGCAACCCGGTGAAGTACTGGATCGTGTAAATTTGATAAAAGTGTTACATATTATATCAATTGTGTTTGAAGTACAAATACTCAAAGGAAAGTTGAGTCTAAATCAGGTTTTTATTGTGGAATTTTGTGTTTTCAAACATTTTATCTGCTGTAACATCTTTATATTCATGTCTGATGGCCCATTTTAAGTGTTCTGTTGTGGTGTGGTAATACATACATGTTAACATGCGTATGGCATGTATTAGCGTGTACTGTGTTAGGGCAGCCCATTCATTATTAATGGATTACCAACACACTACAACACATAAAACAATGTGCATAAATGTTTTTAACAACGCAGCACACCTCAACACATAGTATAGGCATTATGGTGCACTGCAGTGCATTGGGATCTGCTGTACAATGCGTTGAGGTTGCCAGTTGTAATTAATGACATTGCAATGCACTGCACACAGAGCCTTTCAAATGCAATATTTTACATTTAAGAGATATAAAAATGACAACGTTTTTTGGTCCTGAACATAATAAATACATTGAAACAAAAATTTAAATAAAACAAATCTTTTTACTACCTCTCTGTAAAATTAGAGTAATAGAAAAAGCACATGGAGGGGCCCGGTTATAACTGATCTCTGCTTACTTGGAGTTCGGGAAAAGTCATTCAACTGCAAGCAAAAGTGTATTTTTACCTTAATATTTCCTTGTAAGCAATATTCATAATCCTTCCCAGAGGGATCATCCGAGAACAAGGTGAACCCGGACTGGGAGGGCTTCCTCATTCCAAGGTCTTGGTTAAGTGTGCAAAGAAACTCTTCAACTGTTGTTGATGCGTCAAATCCCACAACCTGCAATATAGGTGGTTAGAAAGTTGGTTTGCCGTGGAAGGTTCACATTCGTAATCGATCAATATGGGGGAAAGAATTGAGTCCCATTCACACCTTGGCGTCCTGGTAGGGTGCAATACCTTGCAATGTGTTTAAGCAGCCTATTCAAATGAATGAGCTGGCAACAAACAAAACATCCAAAAATACGGACATGCACCATTTTTTGCAACTTAGCACATGGTAATGCATTAAGGCGGTATTAAACCCATAAACAAAAATGTAATATATTTGCAGTAACACTAGCATGTATAGTCTTCTCCGGATACGTTGTTTCTCCCATTCTATATATTGGGAGGTAGAGGGCAGGAGAGGGAGCTATGATATGGGAGCGAAGCCAGGTTATACCTGGTAAGTGCCGTTCATGAAGTGCACAGGAATACTGAAGGGTAAGGAGTGGTGATACGGGTTTCGGAGCAGAATGGACAGAATTTCCATCCTGGAAGGTTTGGCTTCACGGTCTCCATTTTGTTGTGTTCTTTCTACACAACGCTGACAGTAAATTGCGTATTTTCCAGCCTCTGTCCTGAGTAAGAAAGAGAACATTGTGAGATTAATTTCCTTACTAGATAGAGACACATACACACAGGTGTATTAAATCTAACGTACAAGTCATTTAAAGTTTTATGGTTTTAAAAACCCAATTTAAAGTGTTCATATTTCATGTCTGAGGTTTACAACCAAAGCATACCCCTCTATAATGTGTACTTGTCTAAATCCAGAGCACTAAGTGTCATTTCTCTCTGCTGCCTCATTCCTCTGGTATTAGTATAAGTGACTTCTGGCAAGTTTTCCTGACACCAGCAGGGTTGATTGGCTCTTATCAAGCGTGCCCAAGTTTGCCCACCCTTTCTGCCCACCCTTTACTACAGCTTCTATGAATGAAACAAAATTTGTGAATGGAGAATGGCAGATGATTGATAGGTCTGCCCCCTCCATTCACAGACTGTGTTTCATTCACAGAAGCTGTAGTACGGCTTTTATAAATGGAGCACCTGGGTGCAAAAGGTGGGCATAGTCGTGCTCTCTTGATAAAAGTCTGCCACAGCCCCTTAGTTCTATTACCTCCAACTGCACCGGAAGATTACAGCAGCAGAAGTGGGGGTATGGGGTCATGGAGGACATTGGCCTGGCTGCAAGTTATGTCCCTTGTGCTGATTATTCTGTGTGTTTCTTACTGGCTGCACATGGGCTTTAAGTTCAGGTTCCCTTGTTAAGTTGTACCCAACCATCCCTAATGGCTTCACAGAGCAACCTTCAGGTTCATATACAGTGTCCATGCTTAGCCAGAATACCTGATATCAGCATTCTTCTTCAGAAAAAGTTTTAGGAGCCAGATGTATGGATGCTGCGGAAGGAAGAGCCCAACACACAGTGCCAGCAGCTGCCAACCCTACATAACACAAACAGGAGTCAATAGAGCCATTGTACTGGGGGTGAGTTCACCAAATGGTCAAGCATTACAATGTAGGGACAGAAGTGCATGGTCAGTCGGTCAGTTTAGCTGCTATCTGATGTGTCCCACACAAGTAAACCAATGACTAATATACACAAGCATGTTCACTTTAAATCGTCCTGAATGGAAATGGTTCATTTCGACATCTTACATGAGTATAAAGCTAATGCAAAAATAGAAAAAATGATGGTGGAATTGGTTAAAGCGTTACTAAACCCACAACAGGAAAATCAGTCTGTATATGCAGCAAAGCATGCTTGATATACTCACTGTGGAACCTAAGGGGTTAATCCTCTGTATTGTGTAAAAAGGCCATTTGATCCTGACTTCTCTGCTCCTCCTCTTGTTCAAATGTCCACGTCTTATCTCCTGATAAGACAGACTGAATCGTAGCCATTCTGCACATACTCAGTTTAGTGTGTCTTGCCAGAGAGGTTTTTTTTTCCTTGGGAGAGTGCATGTGATCAGCACTGGGGCAATCAGCACTGTCCAGACAGAGGTCAGGGGTTTTGCATCCTCCTAGAGCAGAAAGAAAACTCCACCTACAAGATTTAACCAGTGCTCTGCTGGACATTGATAGAAGTCACAAGACTGCTATATACTGCTGATAAGAAAAGGTATTTGGCAGTTTATATTTACCTAAATAATTGCACTTTCATGTTCTGTGTACAATGGAAGACTGGATATAGTGAATGCAGGGTACTGGGTTTAGTAACACTTTAACCTCCTGCTAGGCTTGCAATTTTTTGGGGGGGTTTGAAGTGCCATTTCAGACTAGACTCTAGTTGGACGGAAGACGTAAACATATTTAACTATTGGAATAAGATGCCTTTTAAAGTATATTTCCAGCTTTGCAGGAGGATTTGTTGCACGTTCCCAATCACAAAGCATAACTTTAAATTAAGGTGGACGTTCAGTCAAAATCTAACTAAGGCTAAATCTATTCCCATCCCCATTCTAAGCCCATTCTATCTAACCCTGTAAAGCAGTGGTCTCCAAACTGCGGCCCAGGGGCAAGATGTGGCCCTTTGCTTGCTTTTATCTGGCCCTTGGGTCTCTATTTGATCCACTTATACCAACAATGGGGAATAATTCCTCCCAATGACACCAACGATGGGGCACAGTTCCTCCCAATGACACCAACGATGGGGTACAATTCCTCCCAATGACACCAACGATGGGGCACAATTCATTCCAATGACACCAATGATGGGGCACAATTCCTCCCAATGATACCAACGATGGGACCCGATTCTTCCCAACAGGGGCGGACTGACCATTAGAGCACTCTGGCACTGCCCGAGGGCCCTGGGTCAGTAAGGGGCCCCATGAGATGCCCCTGGTACCTTTCATTGGCTTTTTCATAGGCTTTTTTGGGAGTGGGCAAGGACACAGGGGCCCCATGATCCCCTATTGCCCAGGGGCCCCATGAGTTGTCAGTCCGCCCCTGCTTCCTAATAACACCCAATGATGGGGCTCAATGACGCTAATGATAATGCACAATTCCTCCCAATGACACCAACGATGGGACCCGATTCTTCCCAACAGGGGCGGACTGACCATTAGAGCACTCCGGCACTGCCCGAGGGCCCTGGGTCAGTAAGGGGCCCCATGAGACGCCCCTGGTACCTTTCATTGGCTTTTTCATAGGCTTTTTTGGGTGTGGGCAAGGACACAGGGGCCCCATGATCCCCTATTGCCCAGGGGCCCCATGAGTTGTCAGTCCGCCCCTGCTTCCTAATAACACCCAATGATGGGGCTCAATGACACTAATGATAATGCACAATTCCTCCCAATGACACCAACGATGGGGCACAATTCATTCCAAGGACACCAATGATGGGGCACAATTCCTCCCAATGATACCAACGATGGGACCCGATTCTTCCCAATAGCACCCAATGATGGGGCTCAATCACGCTAATGATAATGCACAATTCCTCCCAATGATACCAATGATGGGGCACAATTCCTCCCAATGATACCAATGATTGGGCACAATTCCTCCCAATGATACCAATGATGGGGCACAATTCCTCCCAATGATACTAACGATGGGACCCGATTCTTCCCAATAACACCCAATGATGGGGCTCAATGACGCCAATGATAAGGCACAATTCCCCCACTGACACCAAAGAAGGGCTATTGTTTTTTCAAACTGACACCAGGACCTCTTCTGCCCCCAATAGACACAGTTCAGCCCCCCTAAAGTCTGAAGGACAGCAAACAGGCCCTTTGTTTAGAAAGTTTAGAGACCCCTGCTGTAAAGAAAAGATCTATATACTTAGCTATTTTGAAGCCACTTCGGTCCTGTCCCATGATCAGCTGTCAGCAGCAGCTTCGATGTTAGAGGAGGGACAGCCATCAAGTCTATGGGTGACATCTCCCAGGCATTTGCAGCGGTTGTTGGTGATCTCTCGTTGTCGGCGAGAGATCATGTGACAAGAGTAGGTAAGAATAAAGATCTCTCCTTTACAGGGTTAGATAGAAGAGCCTTATAAAAGGGGTAGGAGTAAGTTTAGCCTTAGATTGTGACAGAACTTCCACTTTCATTTAAACATTTGTTTACTCTTTACTTGTTTTTCCATTGCTTAAAAACCCTATCTAGCTTTCCCCTTTTTATGTAACTAACATTGGTAGGGAGGTGCTGGAGAGTTATGCCCATGCTTTGCTGGCAGATCTCATTATCAGTTGTGAACTAGCATGTCCTAACAAAGGGTTACAGATCTTAAGGCTTGGGCGGTACACTGAATGTTAATGCCCTTTCCCATAATTTGTCACTCTGCACTTTGTAATTGTTCAGAATAAGGTTCTATGTATTACCCTGCTCCAAAGAAACAACTAGAAAGGTTATTATTATTATACAGGATTTATATAGCGCCAACAGTTTGCTCAGCGCTTTACAATATAACGGGAGACAATACAGCAACAATACAGTTCAATACAAGAGGGATAGGAGGGCCCTGATCCTTGGAGCTTACAATCTAGGAGGGAGGGGAGGTAATAAATATATATTTTTATATTGTTGATAGGTATGCTGTGTGAATGGGAACACAAAACAGACATTTAATGGAGGTTTCTCAAATTTGACTGCAAAGTGGAAATGCACTTTAAAGCAGATGTAAACCCTCCCATCCTTTACAGCCAAGCATGGCTAGATCTAGTGGGGGGATCGGGTGGGTTATGCCCCCAGATTTTAGTTTTGTTTACCCCCCCAAAGCCAAACACCACCCTCCCCACCCCATCACCCTGAATGTTTGCCTGCCCGCTGAACCATACTGCAGACCGCTGAACTTTCCCTCTCCTTGTAAACGTACTAGTAAATGTACAGGGATACGAGAAGGAGCCCTGCTGAGTTTCCTGCCAGCAGTGTCTCCTGTCCTCTGCCCTGCCAAAAGTGACTCCTGTCCTCTGCCCTGCCAAAAGTGACTCCTGTCCTCTGCCCTGCCAAAACTGACTCCTGTCCTCTGCCCTGCCAAAAGGCACCCCTGTCCTCTGCCCTGCCAAAAGGCACCCCTGTCCTCTGCCCTGTCAAAAGGGACCCCTGTCCTCTGCCCTGCCAAAAGGGACCCCTGTCCTCTGCCCTGCCAGCAGTGACCCCTGTCCTCTGCCCTGCTAAAAGTGTCACCTGTCCTCTGCCCTGCCAAAAGTGACCCCTGTCCTCTGCCCTGCCAAAAGTGACCCCTGTCCTCTGCCCTGCCAAAAGTGACCCCTGTCCTCTGCCCTGCCAAGAGTAACTCCTATCCACTGCCCTGCCAGAAGTGACCCCTGTCCTCTGCCTTGTCAGTAGTGACCCCTGTCCTTTGCCCTGCCAGCAGTGACCCCTGTCTTCTGCCCTGCCAGCAGTGACTACTATCCTCTGCACTGCCAGCAGTGGCCCCTGTCTTCTGCCCTGCTAAGCGGTGTCCTCCACCCTGCTGACCCCTGTCCCCAGCTCTGCTGACCACTGTACATGGCCCTACAATCGAATGGCCTCTGTACAATGCCTTAAAAACTGTTGACACTATCCTCAGCCCTGCTGACCCCCTGTACACTGCCCTGCTGACCTGTGCCCTCCACCCTGCTGACTCCTGTCCCCAGCTCTGCTGACCACTGTACACGACCCTACAATCGAATGGCTTCTGTACAATGCCTTAAAAACTGTTGACACTATCCTCTGCGCTGCTGACCCCCTGTACACTGCCCTGCTGACCCATGTCCTCCACCCTGCTGACCCCTGTCCCCAGCTCTACTGACCACTGTACACGGCCCTACAATCGAATGGGCTCTGTAAAAATGCCTTAAAAACTGTTGAAACTATCCTCTGGCCTGCTGACCCCTTGTACACTGCCCTGCTGACCTTCCATCTTCTGCTACCCTCACATTTTTTACTGCACCCCACATCGGACAGGCTAGATCCTGCCCTGCAGCCAAGGAAGCTGCCATCTCAAACATTGATTGATCTGTAATTGCCATGGTGTTGCACATGTGATCAGCCATGACACCCACAATCTGATGGGTTGACAGTCCAGATGATAGCTAACCTAAGCCCACTAGTAACTATAAAGGTTTGTTCAAACTAGTGGTACTCTAGTAAAAGCAATCTGCGTTTGAAAACTCTTCAGAGAACATTTGACAGATGGTGAGGAGGAGTAGTATCGTCTCCTCACCGCCTGTTTTAACTCTTTGATCCCTGCACTGGCATGCTGCACCCGTATGCAGTTGAGGGACGCTTGCACACTGTGGCCCCATTCACTTGAATGCGACAGGGGGTATGATTCTCAGTTTTGCGCTGACTGTGTTCCACATTAACGAGCTAATGGACATTTTTCACTGATATCTGTACCACCCATGCGATTTTCTATTTCATAGTGAAATAATAACTGGTGCGTGGTCTGCTCCTAATTTACGAACAGAATGTGGCAGTTTTCAATGTAGAAAACTGCCACATTCCATGTGTTCATTAGGAGCGGTGTCCTGTGCCATTATAATGGGGCAGGAAGATTAGTTTATATCTCTCTAGGCAGAATTGATGCATAAAAGTAAGCGAGTAATGCATAGGAAGAGTCACAGGGCCCACCATACACAACGCTCTAGAGGCAATCAACGTAGGCCTATAAAGCATAATCATCCAGTCCCAATGGGATCCTGACAGATGAAGTACCTGGATAGGACTTGGTTGGTTCTGTGGCTGTCTGTGTCGGGTCTGTTTAATGAGCTGGCAGTAGATCTCATTCTGGAGCTCCGGGTGGGTGAGGCACACTTGTAGGGCGCTCTGAGCCAGGGACACGTGATAGTCTATAGCGGGGGAGTCAATCGCTGAGTTCAAAAACAGCTGGCAAGTCTGTAGAAGGTGACAGTTCATGATATAGTTACAACAGTCATAGCTAAATCAATCGTAAAAAACATCCCATTGTAATCACTCATTTTTAACCAGATGTACATGGAAATACGAGCAATATACATGATCATAGTATCATATGTACAACACCAATTCCAAAAATGTTGGGACACTGGTAAAATAAATGTACATAATGATTTGCAAATCTCATACACCCATATTTTATATAGAATATAGAAAACATACCAAATGTTTAACCTGAGAAAATGTACTGTATTAAGAACAAAATCAGGTAATTTTGAAAATGATGGCAGCAACATGTCTCAAAATTTACGACAGGGCAACAAAAAACTGGCAAAGTAGGTGCTGCCCTCTATCTTCCACCTCACCCTCATCTTCCCACATTCAGCTCCAGCACTTCTCCAGAGCTTTTCCCACCTTTTGGAACTACCTATCGCAAACTCTCCACCTGTAGTTGATCCCTGAAAATTCATCTCTTCAGGAAAGCCTATCATGTCTCCACCTAAAGACTGAACTTTTACTAAGAAAAATCAAAAGCTCTAGGTTTTTTTTTTAATCACCTTATCCCCCTCACATTTGTTAACTATGGTACTACTCGCCCCTCCCTATCAGACTGTAAGTGTTTTATATTGAATTGTATTGTAACTCCTTTTATATTGTAAAGCACTGTGAAAATTGTTGCTGCTATAAAAATACCTGGATAATTATAATATTTAAATCATTATTATTAATAATAATAATCCTGTATAATATTAATAATAATATATAAATCATGTATAAATTAATCATCATAATATAAAACCTGAATAATAATAATAACAATAATACTACTACTACTAATAATAATAAATACATCCTGTATAATATTAATAATAATCTATAAACCCTGAATAATAATAATAATAAATACAATCTGTGTAATATTAATAATAATAAATCTATAAACCCTGAATAATAATAAAAATAATAATAACAATAACCATAATATATAAATTCTGTATAATAATAATAATCATAATAATCATAATCATTATGTTCATCTTCATCATCATCTATAAACCTAGGTTCACACTTATGCAGATTTCAGTGCGTTTCCAGTTTGCAGAAAGTCACTACAGTCCATTTACCATGGTTTCCTATGGATCTAATTCACGTCTGTGCGTTTTGAGCCAGTGTGGCTTTTTGGAAGGGTCAGGGACTTTTTTTTCCCATAGCAGATTGCGTTTTGCATGTAATGCAGTGGACCCACACATGTTGCATTTTTTTATGCATTTTGCTTTTTTCTTTTCTTTTTTTGCTAATAGGAAAGTATGACAATTCTGTTCATGGAATGCGACTCGGATGCAACTTTACACTTTCTGGCATTCAAGTAGCATCAAAGTTGCATCATTTAAGCCTAACAAGGATTTGGGTTAAGGGCTAAAATCAGGAGATATCTATTACCATTTACCACCAACTGAAAGCCCCATTTATCCCGAAAAAAAAACGTCGTATAATTCACCTGGATGTACAAAATAGTTGTGATGATATGTACAGCTTTACTGACACTTGTCAAAGTTGCAAAATTGTGCTTAGGCATTAACACTTGTTTTAACCTTAGATGGGAAAGGGTTAAGCAATGGACTGCAAGGCTCTACATCCTGTAATCCTTTTTAAAGTGTTACTAAACCCAGGACCCTGCATTCACTATATCTGATCTCCCGCAGTACAAACAACATGAAAATATTTTAATAAATATAAATTGCTAAATACCTTTTCTCATCAGCAGTTAGATCAGTCTTGTGAATTCTAGCAGTGCCCAGCAGAGCACTGGATAAAGCTTGTATGAGTTTTCATTCTGCTCTGATTGTCCTATGAAGTTGCATAACCACTGACCCTCTGTCTGGACAGTGCTGATTGGCCCTGTGCTGATCATAGGCACTCTCCCGAAGAAAAAAAAAAACCTCTCTAGCAATACACACTAAACTGAGCTCATGCAGAGTGACTCCTAGCATTCTGTCCAATCAGCAGATGGATTGGGGACAGTATAAGAAGGGGATGATCAGAGAAGACAGGATCAAACAGCTTTTTTACACAATGCAGAGGATTAACCCCTGAGGTTCCACAGTGAGTATAACAAGCATGCTTTACTGCATATACAGACTGATTGTACTGTTGTGGGTTTAGTAACACTTTTAGCATTTTGGGACAGTTTGTTTCACATCTGGAAGGGCTCATGGTGGCCAATGCTATTATGTCGTCAGTGGAGGAATACAATAGAAGCAATCTGGACAGTAGAACAAGGTCCCACAATTGTAAGTGTGTGTGTGTGTGTGTGTGTGGGGGGGGGGGTAATCTGCCAATCAAATTCACTGTCCCAGATATCATTTCCACAAAAAATAAAGTTAAGCAAGCGCTTAAAGCTGAATTACACTGCATCTGAGCACCACAAACCAATTGTTATTTAATTCATTTTTTCAAATCAAACTCCCCCATCCATCCATTTCTCAATGCTTTATTCTACTGAGAAGTCAATTTGAAAAACACCCCTCTAGCATTTCTGGCCATTCCCATCTTGATTAAGGGCAGATGATTCATGCAACATTTACTTCCAGGAATCCATCTACCCTTAGCTCAGGTATGCAGGCAGGATGGTGTTCTTAGCTAAGAAAACCGCTCCTCCCCTCTTGAAGACTCCTGGGATGTATGACATCATTTGCCTAGGCATAGAAAGCCAGGAAATAACTGCAGAAATATAAAAAAAATTAACACAAGTAAATCTGATATACTTTCTTATCTATTTACTACGTAAAGCTGGCAGCATAAGGATTATAAATACTCAATGCTGACTGAGGGAGTGAAGTTCCACTTTGACTGTTGCAGTTAGCTTAGGTATATTAATAACAGGGTGAATAAAAATCGATGTTTAAAAAAAAAAAAAAAAAAAAAAGAAAATCAGATTTTTTTAAAATTTACATTGGATTTTTTTTATTTTTTATCAATATTATTTTAATAAAATGCTTTTGGAGTAAAAAATCTATCTAAAGATCGTTTTTTTATTTACGATACATTAATAATTTAGTTTATTCAGCATGAAATGGAGCTTAGTTATGTAGCATGAGGCTGTATATTCTGCAATATTTACATTTTTGGTAAACTCATTCAATGAATCCAAGCTCTGCAAGCTGAGATCACATGCACTGTATTGGTGGATTCACACAATGTCACAGTAACATGAGAAAAAACATGAAATAAAAGAATCTGAGTCGTTCTCCAGCCATGTGTGATGAACCTATTAACCTAAAATCGGTTCTGATATCGCTGTTTTACTAACCTGACAGCTTATTATTCTAAAAAGGAAACCTTCATTTGGTTTGCAAATATTAAAGATTCTCACTACCAGCAAGAATGAGTCGGATTGCTTACATTTAAAGAGCACCTGTCATTTTAGATCCATCATGGCAACACCTGTTAGTGAGCATCCACTCACCTGCTGCCGCCACGTCCCTCACCTTGTTGTGTCCCTGCCGCATCACCAGCCGTCCCATTAAAGTGAATGGGACTGTCGGTGAGTCAACAGCAGGTCAGAGGAGGAGCCGCTGCGGGACAGAGATGACAGCTGCTCTTTAAAAATTATGATTTATGTGGGCGCGCCTCTTGCATTGTTGGAGTTACAATACTGATCTCTTTATTTTTTATGTACCATTGATAGCCCCTGCATGGGCGTGTCTTTTGCTCTACTCCTTGTTAAATTGTTTACAAAAGTTAATAAAAACCATTGAAATAAAAAAATATGATTTAAATCGAGCCTTTTCACTAGTAATTTAACTCATTATATAAATCGTGATTTAAATCAGCTTGATTTAAATCAAATCCACCCTGATTAATAATAATTAAATGCAATAGTATGAGACTAAAGTAAGCAATAATGGACAGCAGACATCACATAAAGTAAAAGAACCGCTAACTACTCTCTCCTGGCTCTCATCCTACCTGTCACAGCGCTCTTTCAGCGTTACCTATAATGCTACCACCTCCCCCTCACTCCCCCTCTCTGTTGGGGTCCCTCAAGGCTCTGTCCTCGGGCCCCTTCTCTTCTCCATCTACACCTCCTCCCTTGGCCAACTCATACACTCTCACGGCTTCAACTACCACCTATATGCCAATGACACACAAATCTATCTCTCAACCCCCCACCTCACCCCTCAGTCTCTGCCCGAATCACACACCTACTGAGCGACATATCAGACTGGATGTCACTCCACTTCCTTAAACTGAACCTCTCCAAAACTGAGTTTCTTGTCTTTCCCCCAGCCCGGACCCCACCCCCCATTGACTTCTCCATCATGTCCAACAACGCCACCATCAAACCCGCCCCGCAGGCCAGAGTACTTGGTGTCATTCTGGACTCCAACCTATCCTTCCAGCCCCAAGTCCAGTCTTTAACAAACTCGTGCAGACTCCACCTCCGCAACATCGCCAAAATCCGCACGTTCCTAACCCCAGAAACCACTAAACAGCTCATCCACTCCCTCATCATATCACGACTCGACTACTGCAACTCCCTCCTCACTGGCCTGCCTCGCCGCTGGGTATCCCCGCTTCAGTCGATCCTGAATACGGCTGCCATACTCATCCACCTTACCAACCGCTCCATCTCCGCCACCCCCGTCTGCCAATCCCTCCACTGGCTTCCGATTGCGCAACGGATCAAATTCAAAATCCTAACACTGACGTACAAAGCTGTCCACCATACTGCCCCGAACTACATCACTGACCTAATATCCAAGTACCGCCCAGCACGCACACTCCGCTCCTCACAAGACCTCCTTCTCTCTAGTTCCCTGGTCTCCTCCTCCCATGCCTGCCTCCAGGACTTCTCCAGGGTGTCACCCATCCTCTGGAACTCCCTGCCCCAACCCATCAGATTATCACCTACTCTCCTCTCCTTTAAGTGCACCCTGAAAACCCATCTCTTCAGGGAAGCCTACCCCACCCCCTGC